TGGAGAGAGCTGACCCCGACTCCCTTCTCCTGGGAAGACTCGGTGCTGGAGCCGACGAGCACCTGCGCTGGCTCTGAGCGGCTTTCACAGTGTCACGTAAGGCTCCCTCTGGTTGACACCAGGCTGGCTGGTCCCAGGCAGCCTCCAGGCTCCCAAATGTCAGTATGCCCTGGTGTCCTTTGTTCTGCTGAGAAAATCTAGAAGAGCTGGAGGGAGGTTCGAGAGAAAAAGGTGAGAATGTGGAAGGAAAGGTAAGCCATGACCTGGAAGTCAGCTGCAGTCTGTTGGGTCCATCTGGGTTTGGAGAGCTAGTGCTCTGGCCGGCACACAGTGGGGACCAGGTGACATAGCTCACTGGGCAGCTCAGAGTACAGGCTTCAGATTCGATGCTGTGCCTTAGACTTTTCAACCTAAAAAGGGATTAACAATATTCTACTTCCTCATTGGGCTGTTACGAGAATGGAAAAAAGAGAAGACATACGGGACATATAGCAGAGCTTAGCACATAGTAGGTCTTGAATCCTGGAGGGGAGCACTACTGTTTTGTTGTTTTGATTGTTGTCATTCACAAAATCAGCTAGTGGTTAGGACCACAGACTCCGCAGCCAGATTGCCTGCATCTGAACGTCAGCTCTGCCACTTAGTCGCTGTGTGACCTTGAAAATGTTACTTAACCTCTCTGTGCCTCAATAGCGTTATCTGTACATGGAGATAATCATACTGATCTTAGAGTAATTTGGGTGAGGATTAAGTAAGTTGATATATACAACACAACTGGTACAAAATGTCAATGTTTGCTATTTTTACTGTTATTATGATTATTATAATTACTTATAGAGATGGTTAGGGCAGAAGCAATTTGGAGAGAATTTTGGAGCCAATAATAGGAGGAGGCTGGAGTTTAATAAACAAACATTACCTGCATAGGATTGTGAGGGCATAGACTTATTTAGGGAGGGACCTTGTGAACTGTTTTTCATTTTATTTGTCAGTCATCAGTGTTCGGATGGGTGTGCGGCAGAACAAAGCACTGGGCTTGAAGTTCAGACACAGCTGGGTTCAGAGCCCACAAGCTGGTGGCCTTGGGCAAGTTATGTCATGCCTTAAACCTCAGTTTCCTCATCTGTTAAAAAAAAAGGGGGGTGATGATAGTACAAACCTCTCAGTGAGGGGGCTGTTGTGAAGATTAACTAAAAACATGCTTGGAAGGCATTCAGCTTGGTGCCTGGCACCTTCTAAGTACTCAGGAATTTTTAGTTAATATGCCCTGTGTAGAGTCTGTCGTGTGTGAGCCAGGCAGCTCGGACACAGTAATCATAAGACATCTACTTGGCCACAATGAGCTCCTACAATGCACCTGGTACCCTTCTAGGCACAGGGAATGCTGCTGTGAACGAGATACCCAAAGGTCCTGCCCTCATGGAGCCGAGGGGGCTGGAAATTCCATTAGTGTCATCCACGGGAGGTGGGGGGAGTGGTGAGAAAATGAAGGAAAAAAGATATGTGCGTCCTCACCCCCTTTTTGCTGTTGGATGAGCTGGCTCTGGGGGTGTCCAAGAGAGGGAACTCCAGCCGGGTCTTCCTGGACCCGGAGCCTGAGTGCATGTGGGAGGCCGCCACGGTCTGCCTCCATCACCAGAACCCCAGTTCCAAAGCCCTGGAACTGCAGGTAAAACATCTGGCAAAAATGACATCCGGAAAGCCAGGCCTTGGAGGGATCCCCAGGGCCCCTCCCTTCGGCTCTCGCAGACCCACCCCTACCCCCTCCCCTGCCACAGTCCGTTATGGCTGGACCTGCAGGGGAAGGGGCACAAGGGAGGCCAGGGAGGGAGAGAACTGGTTTTATTTTTTTTTTTTTTACTGCAGTAGAAAGAAAAAGCACAGAATTGAGCAGCTGACAAACTTGTGTCTTGGCGCTGGCATTACCTGTGTGACCTCAGGCCGCGCTCTCTCCTCCCTGGCCCCAGTTCCCGGAATCCAGGGCGATGCCACCCTCCCTGTCAGCTGTCTGTTCGAGGATTAATTGTGGCACTTCCCATGTGAAAGCTCCAAGAGGGCGGCTGCCAAGAGAACCCTTGTTCTGGGACCTGGGGTCTCACATCCCCCTCTCGGGCTCCATCAGGGTCTTTCCTTTCCTCAGAGGTGTCCTGGAGGCCCCTTCCCCTCCCTAGCCTCTCTGGAAGCCGACTCCGTCTTGTCCCCTGCTTGCTGACAGCCCCTGGGGTTTACTGACCAGTCTCCACGTGTGTTCGCTGACTCCTCTCCAGGTGGCCCCGTCAGCTCGACCAGCAGCTGTCTCCCTGCTCAGATTCCCAAAACAGAAGGCTGGCCTGACCCAGAAACACAGCAAGCATCATCCAGGGCGAAAGGGACAGCAGGCAGGCAGAAGGAACACTGGACCAAGCCTGGGCAATATTGTCCAATTCCGGTTGTTACCATGGGCTCCCACGTCCCACTGGCTCAGGTTTCATTCCTTAGCCAGCTGTGTGGCCAGGGGAAGGTGGCTTCACCTCTCTGAACCAGGAGGATGCAATGAGGTCATGAAGAAAAGTGCTGGGCCTGGTACACACTCAGTGCTCAATCAATGTGGGTAGTGACTAGGATTGCCAGAGGCAGAGCAGCAGACGAGCTGGAAGCCCAAATTCTGAGGTTCAAATCCCAGCTCTGCCGCTTAACATGTGTGTAGACACGGGGAAGTCATATCCTCGCTCTGTGCCTCGGTCTCCACATGTGTTAAATGGGGATAATAAGAGTCCCTTCCTCTCAGGGCTGTAGGGAGGATTCTGAGTCAATACACTTACATTTAAAGTGCTTAGAACAGAACCTGGCACCTGGATAGTGCTGGATAAATGCTCATGGTTTCTGCTTTCTAGCTTCTCAGCCCCACTTCTCTCCCGGGGTCCTGGATGCTGCAAGCGCCCTTGAAATGAGAAAGTGGATGAGGTCGTGGAGGGTGTGTTCCTGGGAGGAAGGGGGAGGAGGGTCGTTTAGAACACACCCACCAGCAGACGGGCCCCTGAATGCACAGCCCCATCAGCACGTACACACACACCACTGCACCCACTCAGATCCACGCATAAACTCGCTCGGGACGCAGCCGCACCCCCGCCATGTGGTCCCCACCCGCTCAGAAACCCCTCCCAGCCCCCGCCCAGCTCCCAGGCGGGGCCCGCTTTCTTCTCTGTGTCATGCTGCGATTCTGTCCCGCCTGGCTCCAAACCAGCCGGCCTCGCCCCAGCCGTAATTACAGAGAGAGCCGAGGCCTCGGTGCCTGGCGTGACGTCAGCCCGAAGCTTCTAGCCTGATGATCTCACCCCAGTCACTCGGGATGGGGGTGCCTCCGGGGGCTCAGCACAGACTCGCAGGTTCCGACCCAGGCCCCCAGCGGTGCGCACGGACTGCGCTCTGTGCCTCGGTTTTCTCACCTGCGAAATGGGCGACGGCACCCCCCCCTCCAACGGCAGTGGCGAGGGTCTCACCGCGTGGCAGGCACCTAGGAGATGTAGCCGATGGTGACTCTGGTCCTCCGTACTATTATTTTTAGCAAAGTGCCTCATGGGGGCCCTGCTGAACACCAAAAGTATTTCTCAAGAAATGACTCATTGGATTCCTTAACACCCCCACCCACCCCACCCCAGGAGAAAGACAGGGCTCAGAGCCTGAAGCCCACCCGAGAGGGCCCCAAACTGCACACCTGCTGGGGGCAGAGCACAGGCTGGATCTCAAGCTCAAGGCGTCTTGAGGTCAAAGAACAGTTTATAAATTCATTCTCCAAGCTACGTGGGAGGGGCAAGGAAGTCTAGAAAACAGGTCCTCTCTGGGCTTTGTGTTTCCAACCAGACCACCTGCCTTTAGGTAATTAGCATTATCACCGTCATAATAATAGAAGCTACCATTGTTTAACCCTTCCTACGCAGTTTCGTCATCTGCAAAACGGGGACAATCGTAGCACCCCGACCTCACGAGACCGCTGCGGAGGAAAAAAGGAAATTAATGTTCGTGGAGCGTTTACAGCCGGGTCTGGCCCCTAGTGCGCAGTGTATCGCTGAGAATCAACCTTGAACATCTGAAAGTGCCGGTCTGCTAAGCGCTTTAGGGGAGATTACCTCATGTGTTCCCCCTGACACATCGGTGGGGAGTCTGCTATTACGTCCACTTTACAGGTGGGAAAACTGATAGCTCAGATTGCCTGGGGAGGAACGTGACTCCCCTCACTGGGCAGGGAAGGCGAGCGCTAAGTATGGGGTAGAGTTGCAAGTGGGAATTGCAGCTCAGGGGTGACTGCCCATCCACCAGGGTCCCGCTCTCCCCTGGGCTTCTGCGGGTCCCCAGCGTGGAGGCAGGATGCAGCTCGCTCTGGGGGAGGTATTTGCAGAGGGTGACCTGAGCCCTCAGCCAGGCACGGGTTATTAATAGCCGGGCCTTAGTGCTCTGCGGGGGGCGGGCTGCCGGAGAAGGAGCTGGAGGGAGGGCGGAGCTGAGCCGAGTGGGGGAGGAGAGTGTCCGGAGAGGCTGGCGGAACTTGGATGTTAAGGTCCCTCCCAGCCCCCTGGGAGCCCGGCTGTTCCCTCAGCGGATTCTCTGGGGCTGGTTCATCGCCTCCGAATACTCCTGTGACAGGAGGCGCTTGCAAATCACGCCCCCAGTCCCCGGCAGCAATAAATAGGAGGCTCCCAGCCCAGAAGAAGCAAGAAGTTTCTAGGCCTGCTTGTTGCCGGGTTTATTAAGCTTCCGGCTCCATTCTGGACCCCAGCGGCTCTGGCTGAGAGCCTGGACGGCCTGGGCGGACGGAGGCTGGCTGATCTCCGGTGAGGCTGTGCTGGAGAATTCTGCACGACCAGCCGGGGGTCGCCTTTGGTGGCTGGAGTGTCTTTAGGGGCTGGGACCCCAGCCTGGTGTGTGCCTCCTTGTCCTTGGCAGTGGATGGTTCAGCATTTTCTGAAGCTGCAGAATAAGCTTGGAAGGCCAGCCGACCCACATCACCTTGCTGTGTGACCTTGGGCAGGTGGCTCCCTCTCTCTGAGCCTCTGTTTCTCCTCCAGCTCAGCAGCCACCATGGCTGATGGTCAGATGCCCTTCCCCTGCCCTTATGGAAGTCGCCTGCGCCGGGACCCCTTCCGAGACTCATCTCTGTCCTCTCGCCTGCTGGACGATGGCTTTGGCATGGACCCCTTCCCCGACGACTTGACTGCCCCTTGGCCTGACTGGGCCCTGCCTCGCATCTCCTCTGCCTGGCCGGGCACCCTGAGGTCAGGGATGGTGCACCGGGGGCCCACTTCCGGGGGCAGGTTTAGGGTACCTGCCGAGGGCAGGAGCCCCCCTCCCTTCCCTGGGGAGCCCTGGAAAGTGTGTGTCAACGTGCACAGCTTTAAGCCGGAGGAGCTGATGGTAAAAACGAAGGATGGATACGTGGAGGTGTCTGGTGAGTGGAGGAGGGAAGGAGAAGCTGGGGAGGGGGTGTAGACCTCAGCCCTGGAATAGCCACCAGAACGTTCCCTTAGAGGGAACGCTGTGACAGCACGACACAGGTGACTTCAGGGCTCAGGAATGCAGGCCATAAAAGTTCTCTTTACAGAAAAGCTCTCCTCTCCAGGCTTCAAGGAAAAATTTTAACCTGACTTAGCTGTTGGGGGGCCTTTGGGCACTGCATCCCCCAGGGAACCAGCAGGAAAATAGAGACCATGTCGCATGTTTTGACAGAGAGAATTTAACATAAAGAATAAAAGTTTCACAAATAGACAAGGAGTGAAAAGACAGAGAAGTGGGGTCCGCGCACCCCAGCATCATAACACAGTCTGACAGGAGGGTATTTAATGCTGTGTGATCAGACTGTTAATGACTAGCACAGGTTTCAAGAGAAACGCCTGCCCTTGTCCCAGGTAAGGAAACCGAGGCATAAATGTCATTGTAAGAGTACAACTTGGTAACCTTGGTTGAGTGATTACTGTCTGCAAGGTACCATTCTACAGGCTTTACTGTAGCAGCTCAGCGAACACAACCAGAAGAGGTAGGTCCTGTCTGCCTCCTCTTTTTAGAGATGAGGAAACTGAGGCGCAGAGAGGTTAAAGTAACTAGCCCGAGGGCACCACCAGAGATTCAAACCCAGGCTGTCTGGGAATTGAGAGGCCAGAGGTGAAGAAATGATTTCTTGAGCACATGCCGGGTGCCGAGGGCTCGGGTGCACCTTTTACATTCCTGCTCTCGATGAGCCCTCCCTCCAGCCCTGAGAAGCGGAGGTGTCTAGTCCCATTTTGCAGCCGAGGAGGCTGAGGCCTGGGTGGGGGCTTGTCCGAGGTCACGCCGTGAGTCAGCAGCAGTTAGAGACTGGGGCTGCCCATGACTCCAGGCCCAGGGCTCCTGCCACCACATCCCAGCCTGGGGGAGGGAATGTTCTGGAGAAAAGGAAAGAGGAGACAGAGGCTCAGTTCCTGTTAAGCAGGGCAGCAGGGACGAGCTTTCTGTCCCGGCCCTCCCAATTAACGCTCCATTAAAAAGAGTGTGTTCCTGGCAGGCTCTACGGGCCAGAAAATCAATAAAGCCGGTGCAAACAGGCTAGGCAGGGACAGGCCCTGGCAGAGCAGCCTTCATGGGCAGTTTCAAAGCCTTCAAGGGCAGAATTATAAACATCAGAGGTTCCTGCGGGTGTGGCGGGCGGGGAGGCACGCTGGGGCGGCATGTGCCTGCATGGAGGGGGTCAGCCAGGACTTTCCGAGTTGGCTGGGGAGCCAGGCATCTGAAACCACTTTCCTGTGCTTCGTTTCCTTATCTGGAAATTGGGATTCAAACGGCTACACCGCCTAAGGATTTTTGACGTAAATGAGGTGATGCTGGTAAAGTGCATACATGGCCCTTGGAACACAGGGAATCAGTATTGTTACTGTTGTCAAGGTTGTTATTTATATGCTGGGCACGTGGTAAGGCCCCATAAATCATCAATCCTAGGTGCTCTTTGAGACCTGGGTTTAAATCACACCACCACTATTCTCTGGATGGATATGGACAGAAACAGCTCTTCACCACTCTGAGCCTCAGTTTCCCCATCTGAAGAATAGGGATCCTACTAGTATCCACTCAACAAGGCTGCAGGGAAGATTAAACGTGTACAGACAATCTATAATGATAAATGCAGAGTGTCCGTCTGGCACTCCACGAACAAGGTGATTATTATCACCACACCTGCCATCTTTGTTTTAATTAGGATTCTAGAGTCTTCCTCCCCAGGGTGGAGGGTCTCCCAGACCCTGTGGTCCCTCCAGGAGACCTCTGTCCAGCCTGGAGGGCTTTGTACACTCTCCCCCTTTCAAGGTGCTTCTTAACAAGTAGGGTCCGGCAGCTCCAGGCTGAGATCCCAGCTAAGTACCTTACTAATTCAGAGGCTTGGAGTGTGAGTCACAGAGCCTCATTTCCACATTTGTAAAATGGGTTTGTCGGGGGTTTACATAAAACAAAGACAGACAAAGCTGTTCTAGGTTGAAAATGCCTCACAGCTGTGCACTTAGCAATCTCAGCTTGACAAAATCCAAATCCCCCTAGAGAACATACAGAGACTTTCGTAATAGGGATTTTGAAAATCAGATCGCTATCAGGGGCTCCATTTAAAAAGCAGCTTTCAGTGGATGTCTGAGGTCAGATGCAGTCTCCCATCCGATTGCCCATTATGACACATTTCTCACACATGGTGCTGTGCTAAACACTAACACGGGTTGGCTCATGGGTTCCTCGTGGACTTCCAAGGAAATAGGCATAGGTGGGTTGTGCCCATTTTACAGACGAGGAGACCAAGGCCCGGGGATAGTAACTCTGCTGAGATCACCTGCTTCTCCATAGCAATGTCTGAAATTCAAAGCCGGGCCTTCTTAGACAGTTCCAAGTCAGGATAGCTGGATCTGCTTCAAACTGAGTGGCCCAGGGCAAATCCTACCACCTCTTGGGCCTCTGCTTTGCCATTGGTCTAATGAAGGGTTGATCCGTATTTGCCAGACAGTGTGTTTTAAGATATTACTAGCATCTGATACATGGAGGGAAGTGGAGGAGTCCAGGATTTTCGAAGTTACCAGAGGAAACAAAATTATCAATAGGTCTTCTCACTGCAGGACTTATCAGAGCCTTGAGTTTGCTAGTGTAGTTTATGAATCTCTGAGAGGTGGCTCTGTCTTATCTGACCACATTAAAGCATCCAGTTCCAGGGAAGTGTTTGGAAAATGCTAGACTAAATGATTTCCATCATGCCTCACACACACCCCCTCCCCTACCCTGCAGCCACCAGCCAAGAAATGTTCTTGTCATGGGCCACTGGGCCAGGCGCTGGCAGAGGAAGGGACTGGAAAGCCCCGAGGCTTTATTCCACCCCTTCTCCTTAATCCCAGGGCCTGTGCTCCCCTGGAAACAGCACCTTCTTTCCTTAGCTGGGCCCATAGCTTTCCCCGAAATGCTGATGCCTGCTTCTTGGCACCTGCATTTCTCTGGCATGTTGAGCAAATGGGGCTGTGAGGGGCCTCTGGCTTCCCCTGACCTCCAGATGAATTCTTTTTTTTAAAAAAGAATCTTAATAATTACTTTTTGCTGTTTTCAAAAATAAAATATTTACAAGGTAGATAGGAAAGCAAAATAAGGAATTAAAAATCAGTCATGATCCTGAAGCTGCCCTTGTCAATAGATATTCAAATATCATGCAAATTATGCTTCAATAGGAGCCTTCTAACCACGCCCCCTTCCACCCAGTTTAACCTCCTCCCCAAGCCACCCTCTACAGAGCTGCCTTGCTCCCAGATCCTTCCCCCACAACCCCAATACCCTATTTTCAGAGCATGAACAGGAGGTTTAGCTTCTGATGATCCGTTTTTTCCCCAAATATCCAAATTCACCACAAGCATTAACCTTCTCAGGGTAGCTTTACAACTTTGAAAGCAATTCTGTGACTCATTCACATCACTGCCTCATAGTCACCCAGTGATTAAGAAGTTTTCGCTGCCATTGTAGAGAGGAGTGAACTGAGGCTCAGGATAGAGGAGGGATGTGCTGGGAAACGTCAGAGCAGGGACTCCAAACCCAATCCACACCCCTGCCTTGGAGTCTTTGCTTCAGCACTTCCAAGCTGTGTGACCTAGGCCTCATCACTTCACCTCTCTGAACTTCCATTGCCCCACCCACAAAATGGTAATAAAAAAAGCACCTGCCTTTTAAGCTTTTTGTGAAAACTAGGGTTGCTATCGGTCAGGTGCTTAAGACGCTGACGGACCCCAAGGAAGCGCCATGTGTGGTTGCTATTGTTATTCTTACCATCAGCATCGTCTCCTCCTCGATTATTATTGCCAAGACACCAAGTGTGCAAAAGAGCTGAGTCAGAGGCACTGGCCTGTCCCCAGGGGAGGCAGATCTCCAGAGGCCCGTGCTTTGGGGAGGGGACCCGGGGACAGACAGTGCTCCTCTGGCCACCGGCCCGTGTTAGAGCCAGGCTGCCGGTGCTCCTGGACTTGGCAGGTCCAGATAAACTCTTCGAGCTCCCAGAGGCAGCACATTCCCGGAATAGTATGTTCTGGTTAGCCAGACACTCCAGTTTAAAAATGAATTCCTGTAAATGTACCCCTTTCTGCCCAGCTGGTGGGAGACTAAATTGATGTAGCCTTTCCTACGGGAAATTTAGTAATATAGATCAAGGCTTAGACATTCTAGAACTTGGAATTTATCCTAGAGAAGTCATCAGGCCAGGGGTGAAGCTCTGGCTGCAAGAACGGTCAGTACAGTGAGGTTCTTTCCAATGTCAGATACCGTCTCAGTGCCCAAAAGCCGGGGATTGGCTAAATGAACTTCTGTACCCGCTATAGCCATTAAAAGCCATATTGTCAAAGAATATTTTCTGGGATATGGGAAAAACAATTATAACGCATCCACAAGAGAGAAAAACAAGTTTCAGGAGTAACAGACAGTGTGATCTCATTTGATCTGATATTCATCGCTACTTTAGAACATATATGCATTTCTAAGTAACAGAAGAAAGTCTGGAACGTGTACAAAAATGTGGTTTCCTTGGGGTGATGGAGTTATGGACGGTTTTGATTGCTTTTTTCTTTATTTTCTGCATTTTCAAAGATACACATCAGTTATTTTGTAATCCGAAAGAAGTTATTAATAAAAGAATAATGAATTATAAAAAAGTAATTAATAAGGTAGTTACCTATAAATTGTCAGCTTAAAAAAAATCTGGACCACAGTACGACACTCTGTCACACAAGGTTATTTCCAGTCTGAATCCAAAGCCCCTTGGAAGGGTGTCCTTGTATAAATGACGGTTCTTTATTTTTTTAACATCTTTATTGTGGTATGGTTCCTATACAGTAAACTACATATATTTCAGGTGTACACGTTGATGAATTTTGATAGATGCATACACCAATGAAACCGCCACCACAATCAAGATAGCTAGCATTTCCATCACTCCCCAGAGAGGTGCAATTTTTGAATTCCAGTAAATGAGGGTTCTTAGCCCTGGAATGTGGCCCCACAAATGAGGAGTGACTAATAATAGGAGCCCAGTGGCTCTGCTGGGCACTAATCCGATTTGTTTAAAGAGAAATTAGAGACACTCTGTCCATTAAAAAAAAAAATGGGGAGGGGCCAAAAGGCTCAGAATTTGTTATATAAATGGCAAGATGACAGCCAGTTTGGGGTTAAGCCTTCTTGGAATTTCGTATTTTGCCTTCCGAAGGAAAGAAAAAAAAGCCTTTTCTTGCCAGCGTGGAGGAGGAGGGGCAGGTCGGATTTCACACCTGTGGTGTCCCATGTGTCATTTCTTAGGGAGAGCCCCCTTTGGAGAGTCTGGATGGTTGTTTTTTTGTTTGCTTTTTTAGCAGATTGAAGCATTATTTCCGGGTGGTTCTTTCAGTACTAGATACAGATAACGTGACTCAAAGAACTAACTGGAAGCCAAAACAGGCCGAGGGGCACTGAACCGCAGCCCTTGGCTTAGGTTCAGAGAAAGAGCTGGTTCTCAGCTCAGGGCAGCCATGCACTTGCTGGGTGACCTTGGACCCATCCCTAGGCCTCACTTTTCACGTCAGTAACCAAGGGAGGAAGAAGCCCATCCCCAGAGCTGGGCAAGGGCTCTGTGCGTTACACAGCCAGCTGGGTGGCAGACTAGCCCCACTTTTTTCCTATCACCCATTCTGGGATGTTAACCTCAAGGCTCTCCTGGCTGTTGAGGAGAGAAGGATGAGATGCAAGACTCAGGGGATGCAGGGCAGCATCTAAGGGGACACAGGAGGTCGTTTCTGTGGTGTCCTAAGTGTAACTCATAATCGTCTACAAACCACAGTCAAGGCCTCCTGACTGGCCCATTGTCTTATTCCATCTTCATAATAGCCTGGGAGGTGGTTTCAAGTGGGTCCACTTAGCAGATGTGGGACCAGAGGCTCAGGCAACTGGAGCCTCTAGACCAAGCCCCAAGCCACACAGCGAGGCGGGGCAGGATTCGAACCCCAGCCCGAGTCTTGGATGATGCCCACAGATACTGACACGTGCCATTCCTCTCCCTTCCAGGTAAACATGAAGAGAAGCAGCAAGAAGGCGGCATCGTTTCCAAGAACTTCACAAAGAAAATCCAGTAAGTACCTGGCAGTTGGATTTCAGGGTAGGACTGGAATGCGGGTGGGCTACCTGGGATCTGGGGTCTCGCTCTCTTGGGCATCTCTCCTTCAAGACGCCCACTTCCCAGGGGGCAGAGAATGGGACCCTGGCACCTAAGGGGAGAAGATATCCCAGCAGACCTGCAGTAGGTTCCCAGAAGGGGTTGGGGCAGGGGCACATGGATCATGTCGTCTCATCTGCTCAGTGCTCTGCGAGGTGGGTATTAACAACCCCGTTTTATAGATGAAGAATTCGAGAATAAGAGAGGCAAAGTGGCTAGTCCACAATTCCACCAAAATTGGGGCACTCACCCACCCACACGACATGGCGGAGAGAGGGTCTCCATCACCATCAAGAAAGACCCTTTTTTGATGCCCCCAGTTCCCCAGTAGAACCTTTCGAAGGCTGCTTGCTCTAAGTCTCCCACAGCCAGGAGAATGGGTGCCTTCCCTAGAGCATCCATAAGAATTTAGCTGAAAGGTGTCCTGGCGTCATCAATACTTCCTTACGAGAAGGGTTTTGAGACTGAGAAATTGGGATAAAGGAAGAGCCGGTTTTGCTGGGGGGTGGGCGAGGAGGGCTGAGTCTGGGGAATTATGTGAACAGCAGAAAGACCACCAGTCTGAGCCAATGCATCAAAGCCACACTGAGACCCTAATGACAACGCCAGTGGGGAGAAGAGAGTCGTCGAGAGGTGCTGATGACCAGGTGCTCACAGACACACCTTCCCCCAATCAGCATCACTGCACCATGTGCACTTCTAGCTCCAAAGTCTTTCCCCAGTTGTCACTGCATTAGCCTTTGCAGCAAAGGTAACGCCGTGGGGAGAAGAGACACTCCCCTCCTTGTGTTATGGGGAAACTCAACTCTCCCAGAGGTGAAAGAACACATCCAAGGTCCTTAAAATCAGCATTTAGAACAGCCCCAAACAAGATCCTTGAACCCTGAGCTCGCAGTGTTCATTCTCTGAGCAAGGACTGCCCTTTCCTCATCTGACAAGGGGATGGATGCTGAGTCCAGCCTTGCGGAGTTACCCGCTGGAAACAAAATGAGATCCCAGGGCAGTGATGGGCTCACAGCGGGTCCTCAGAAGTGGCGGTTTGTTCTTACTTTCATCGTTGTTGTTATTGAATCTTAACTCCTCCCCTCGCCCTGGCAAAGGTGTCCGTGTGTCTGGAGAGATTGCCCAAGCTGAATTCTGAGGCTTCTTTCTTCTTTCGGCTCTGGGATCCTGCAGTCCTCCTGTCTCTCCCCCGATGTGCCCATTCCTCACCCATCCGGCGCCTCCAGAATACTTAAAAGACACTTTCTGATAATGGCAAATGCCAAACTGTTTTTCTCCGAGCTCTCTGACCCGCCTGCCGTCCCCGAGACCCGCACCTCTCCCTGGAACAGCAGGCAGATCAGACTTTGCTGAGAAGGGAAAGATGAGGAAGAGAGGGAGGGAGGGAGCTGATATTTCTTTTAAGAGACTGAAATAAGGTCTCAGGATGGAGTCACAGGCAGGGCAAAGCTGTGAAAGGGATGGAGCTGGAAAGAAGTCAGCAAATTAATCATCTCTGAAAGACAGCCATTTTCGTGGCTTTCGCGTCTCTGAGGCCTCTGGGAAAACAGCTTGCTGGAAGTTACTTGACCAGATAGAAATGTCTAAAGCTGCTGAAGGCAGGGCTGCTGTTCAGCACTCGAGCTGGGCTGGTTGTTATAATATTGGACTAGGAGCCCCTCAGAGGCTGTCCTCAGTCAACCAGCCATCCTGACCCTGTCCCTGGGACCCTCCAAACCTCCCCACATCCCAACAGCTAAAGGGTCCTTAGGACCCTCCTCCATCACTATGGCATGTATCCATCCATTCTGGTTGGGCGATGTCCAGCTGGACCAGTGGTTAAATATCTTGAATCTCACCTCTGCGTGTAGGAAATCCCAGCTCCATGATTGGAGAAACTGCTCTGAGCTTCTGTTCCCGTATTCCCTCATCCCCTCATGATGGGGGATGAGAGCATGTGTGTAAAACTTTTCACACAGTGTACAGACTCAGTGCTCCGTCCGTGGGAACTAATGTTATTAAAGACTCCACAAGGCTGGAGTCACACAAGAGCAGCTGGGACTCCTGGGAGCTCCTGGCCCGGCCCAGACTCCAGACACCCAGGAGAGGACTGGGGTTAGGATGGCCCCAGCCCAATCTCAGAGACCTCTTTGCCTCTCCCAGGGAAAAACTCTGGTCATTAGAGGACAGGGAAGCTCCTTCAGCCAGGCTGAGGTCCTTGGAGATTTCCTCCCAGACAGGATGCTCCAGCTGTTTGCCTTAGCCACAGCTAAGAAATTCTTGCCAACACATCCATCCCCATGTGAAAGGCCCTATTTGGACCAGATGAGGGAGCGAGGGAGAGGTACTGGGATTTGCCAGTCAGGCTGGGTGCAGGGCAAAGACAGTGGAGGGGATCTTTTCCACACTCAACTTGGATGAGAGGACAGGGGCTGCAGGAATTCATCAAGGGAGGGTTCTATTGGCTTTGCTCCACATCTTCCCGGGTATCTGGTGTGCCATTTACTGACACTGCCATTTACTGGTGTGTTAAGAGCCATGGTAAAAGGTTTAGAGGTTTAATTCTTCATCTTTAAAAGATTCCCATGGAGTAGATATCATTGAGCTCACCTTGTGCAGGAGGAAACAGGATGTTGGGATTCATTTAAGGTCACACAGCAGGGAATGAGCAGATCTGGGCTTTGAACACAGGTCTCTCCTCCTTCAAAGCCCATGTCCTTCCTACTTGGTTCAGGGAGATAAAATGAATCATTCACATACTATCTTCACCTATATTTTTGCCTTCTGTGCTTACATTCCCATATTATCATTTGCTTATGACTTTTTTTCTTTTCGATCAACTCACTTTTGATAAGGTTAAATTCTCATCAGTAAAACGTTCACTGAGGAAGGCAATTATAAAATAAATCCACTGAAAGCAAAATGTGGTTAAATTCTCACTAGATTGTGTTGCCTGCCAAAGGATCTAAGTCGTGGATCAGATCTTTCTTTGTTAAAAAAAGGAAAATAGCCAGAGACAGAGGCTAAGGTGTTAAAGGCACGTTAACACTGAGCTGAGATTTTGAGCTGGATGTAAATGTAAGGACAGAAAGAAAATCAAGGAGGAGTAACTTTCCCACCGAGTGGGTTCCACACATAGGTCACCTGGTGAGAGCCCTTGAACAAGTCTGTTCCCATCTCGGGGCCTCAGTTTCCCCATGGGGAACATGAGAGCATTGCTGTGGGCATTTGAGATCCTTTTGGGCTCTGACATTTCATGGTTCAATGATCTTGCTAAGATAGTCACGCTGGTCAGGATGCCTCCTTGTACGGCCAATGCCTACAATAGCAATATAGAAGCTGCCTAGTTTTGAGCACTTACTGTATGCCAGGCACTGGGCCAAGCCTTTGCTTTCATCATCCCACATTAATTCTCACACCACCTTAAGAGATAGATACTCTTTTAACCCTCTTTTCCTGTAAGGAAATAAGTTCGGAGAGGCGAGCTCACTAGCCCAAAGTCACACAGTCAGGAAGAGGCAGAATTTGAACTCAGGGCTGCCTGCTGTGGACTGTGGCTACCCTGTCACATTGTACCACATGGGTTGGCGTGCAAAGGGTTAAACAGAGTCAGCCCACTCCCAGCAGAGAGCGGGAGGTCCAAACTTTTGGCCGTGTCTCTACTACAGAAGGTTGACTTGGCAACTGTCCATGTCCCCTTTCTCTTCCGTCCTTCCCTGCTAACCCCTCATTCATCTCCAGGGCTCCCATTTGGAAGGAGTCACCTTATAGATGCAGTTCATGTGGCTCCAAGTTGCTTTTCAGACAGAGCAGAAAAACTCCCCAACCCCTCCAGGAAGGATCCCGCCCATGACCGGAATGGGCTCATGACCCAATTTCTTGGTTCTTGCCTCAAGATTCCTGCATTTACAACAGGCAAAGCCAGCCAGGACCAGTGGAAAGACCAATGGTGATCGAACCTTCTGATTTTCCCAACCACAGACCTTTTTTCAAAAGTCTGGTGCCAGGGAGGCTGTAGAGCATCATGAGCATCTCCTCTGAGTTTGGAGACGAGGACTGCAATTCCATCCCCATCTGCCGCTTACCGGCTGTGTGACCTTGGGCAAATCAGTTCACCTCTCTGACCTCAATCTTCTCATCTGTAAATTGGGGCTAGTCATAGAGCTTGCCTGATGGGATTATTGTTAACAACTAAGTGAGAGGATCCAGGTGAAACACCTGGCACATAGAAAGTGCTCAGACGGTCGCAGTTTTCATTATTTTCATTAATAATGGAATCCTAATGAGGTCATTAACATGTTCTCACAATTCCAGTAGTTTGTCGATGAAACCATGCCCCGGATAGCCTCATTCACCCCCAAACAATCCCAGAATCATAAAAATAGCTTCAGAGCTAGAACCAGATTTGGGTTCAGGAACTCCGTCTTTGATGCTTTTTTACTTGCTGAGCCTGGTATTTGATTTCCCCACGTCTCTGGTAAATGTATTGTGCAACAGTCATTAATTCCCAACTATTAACCATTCTGGGTTGTTTATAAAGCTCCAACCAGGTAATGCCTATAAATGTGTTTTGGGAACAAAACTAAGAGATACTTAAGATGTGACCCAATCAAGGCTCATCCTAAGCATCTCTAAGGTGCCATCTGAAGTCTAGCCGTTGAGCAGCTGACCCTCTTTATCTGTCAAGTTGCCTATTCCACTGTCACTTCCACCAGCAATGCATTTCGTAGTAAAGCACTCTCTGGCAGGCACGTGACAAATGAAAATGTGTCACCTGCTGTGACATTTATGTTCTCTAAAGGGATGATTGATGGTGGTGGCGATTTCTGAGACCTCAACCAAGGACCAAATACTTGGGCCCACAGGTCCCTTTAAAGTTACCGTCGGACCATTGTTTTACCATTTGCAAACCATGTTCAGATTCTTCATCTCATTCTAGAGCATCAAATACTGCATACATTTAATATTATCGTCCCCATTTTGCAGAAGAGGAAACAGGCTCGGAGAAACTGAGTGACCTTCCCAAGATCACACAGATAGAAAGGGGGCAGAGCCAGGGTTCAAGCCCAGCATTGTATGCCCCTAAAGCTTTTATCAAAAACCTTTTCTGGGTGGAAGGAATAGCTCAGTGGTAGAGTGTGTGCTTAGCACACGTGAGGTCCTGGGTTCAATCCCCAGTACCTCCTTAATAAATAAATAAATAAAAATAAACCTAATTACTCCCTCCTACAAGTCTTTTCTTTTGAATGAATAAAAGAATGTTTTGGCTGTAAACAAAAATAAAAATTGAATCTTGTGTTTATCCTAGGCTTCCTGCAGAGGTGGATCCTGCGACCGTATTCGCCTCACTTTCCCCAGAAGGCCTGCTGATCATCGAAGCTCCCCAGGTCCCCCCTTACTCACCATTTGGAGAGAGCAGTTTCAACAATGAGCTTCCCCAAGACAACCAGGAAGTCACTTGTACCTGAGACCTCAGTCTTGGTCCTTTCTTGTTCCCTCCTCAACCCCAGGGCGTCTCTGATTCCAGACTACATTACTTTAGCTGAATTCATAGATTTAGTGTGACTAAAATTTGGGGGGGTCAGGGTGTATTGACCAGATTCCCTGGATAGTGTACTACTAGTTTTTTTTTTCTGCAAGATGGAGCAATTGGCAGGTCAGGCTCTGTTGCACTAGGCCAAAATGCTGAGAGTTTACCTTTTCTATTGTGATGAAAATGCTGCAGATTCTATAGTTGCCAAACAGATAAAAGGGGACATAACATTTCACATTGTATCTTACCTTGCAGCTAATGCAAGAGTTGCTTTTCTCTGGGGACCTCCCCATCACCCAGATTCCCATGCTGGGCTCGCAATGTCCATGCCTGTTCCGTGGTTTGGTTGATGGAGCCCAGTAGCTCACTCCATTGTGTTTTTGCAGCCCTGGTTTACAGAGGGCTATAGACAGGTCTTACATCCCCACGTGGGATTGATCCAAAAGCCACATGAAAACAAACAGTGCCTTCTGCCCTACACCCAGGCATTTATAGCACGTTCCCAAGCTGGCACTCCCCGAGGACTCTGGAAGCCCCTTAGTTTATTCTCTGACTATAGTCCCCCCTTTCTCATGTCTCCTATGTCCAAGTCGGGATTTTTACAGAGGGGGCTGTCACCAGACAGCTCCACCAGGAACCAAGCAAAGGCCAGACAGCCTGGCAGGCAGACTAGTGGTATTATGTATATGGGTGGGACGTGTGTGTCATTGTTATTTGAATTGTGCTGTTGTTTAGGAAAAAATAATAGTTAATAATAATAATAATAATAACAACAACAACAACAACAACAATAAAGGAGCTGATGTTCTTAGCCTTGTGTGTTGTTTTGATGGGAACTAAATGCATATGCAATATCAATAAGGGATGCTTGTGGCTGCCAATAATAATGCCCAGTGCATAGTGACTTAAATGATATAAACATCTGTCTAAATTTATCAGAAGTACGATATGAGTGATTTCAAAATTACTTTTTCAGCTGTTATGCCACCAGAACCCAGAGTCTTTCTATCTTTTTCCTCTGCCCCTCTGACAAGTCTACAAGTTCTGTCCTCATGTTTGCATGATGGCTGCAGGAGCTGAAGCATCTCAGCCTCATATGACAAGGTCCAAGAGAAGGCAAGGGTGAAAAAATCTCGCCTGGCTTTCTCTCAGTAAGATCTTTGCCAGAAGCTCTCCCTCAGCAGATTTCTTTCTTTTATTTCATTGACTAAAACTGGGTCTTCTGTGTCATGTGTATCCTGCAGCCAATTCCTGGCAAAGGGAAAGGGATGGGCTTAGACCAATGTTGATTTGTCCTTTGAGGCCAGGAACATTACTGCCTGAAAAAACAAGGTTCTGTTAGGTAGGGGGAAGGGAAGTAGCAGCCTTGAGGGCAGTTAACAATGCAGTGGCTGCCACACACTCATGCTTCGGGGGACCCCAGAACCCTGAACGCAGGGTGGGAGGGAGCAGGGCTGTTGGCACAGGGCATCAGTTAGAACCATTTCTGTGCTAAGTGCTAGGAAACCCCACTCACACCGATTTAAGCAAAAAAGGGTATTTCTTGGACACAGCTGAGAAGTCCGGGATAAACGCTGGTAACAGTTCATAGAACTGTTTCTGTCTCCTCGTCCTGCGGTGTTGGCTCCACCCCCAGTCTCCCTGTCGTCCCCCAACCTCCGCTGCTCCTAGCCCTCCATGATCCAAGGGGCCCCGTGGTCCCGGGACAGCTGCAATCACTACAGCCCCACGTCCTCCCACATTCCACTCCCCTGTGAGAAAAGCCGGTCTTTCACCATCGCTTCTGCTGTATTCCCGGGAGTCATTCTTATTGGACCGGCTTGGGTCACATGACCATCCCGGAGCAAATCACAGCCCAAGAAATCAGTGCGTTGATTGGTCAGGCTTGGGTCACATGCTCCATCCCTGGAGCCAATCCCACTTCATCCTCACAGCAGCAGCCCGGGAAGCCGATGCAAAGTTTGCAACGGAGAAGCTGCGTCTGGGAGAAGTAGTTTGGGGTAAGTTCTGTGGTGACCGTAGAACTCGCACCTATATGTTTGCTCTTGGAAGAGTTGGTGAGGCGTTGCTAGGTTGCTTTTTTCGAGCACCTCCAAACCCCCAACATTACAGCAGAAGTCAGTGCATATTGCCTGAGCACTGGCTTATTTTGGTCCTGTGCTCAGAGCCAGCCTGTAGCAAACGGTGAGCCGCCATTCCTGCCCAGGAGTTACCTGCACACCAGTAACAGGTGGGCAGGTAATAGAAAGCCTCGCCCTCGCTCAACTGTGTGCCAGACCCCGGCATAAGTGCTTTATGTGTATTAATAGATTTAATTACCCTAAATCCTATCAGTGTTTCCAGACCAAACTTGGGTCCGCTCACCCGCACTCAGTAAAGCCCATTTACTGACACGGGGTTGTGGTGAAGGAAAATGAAGCGTTTACTGCAGGGAGTCCAGACAGCCAGTGTTCAAGAGGCCTGAACTCCCCCATGGCTTTTAGAGAAAGATTTTTAAAGACAGGCTGAGGGAGGGGGCTTGTGGGGCTTGTGATAAGGTCATGGACGTTCTAATTGGTTAGTGGTGAGGTAATCAGGAGTTAACATCATCAACCTGGTTCCAGCCCATCTGGGGTCTTGTGAGCGGCGTATAGTTAACTTCTTCCACCTGGTGGAGGGTTCAGTGTCTGCAAAACAGCCCAGAGGGTTTGGGCCAGAATATTATCTATAGCCCTTGAGAAAGAACTAAAAGTCCTTGACTTTAATGGCTAAACTATTATTGTATCTTGCTTGACTGTTTTCCTTTGTTTCTGTCTTTTCTTACTTCTCTCATTAAATTTGTTCTGTGGCACTCAGGGAAAGCCTGGGAGGCCAAAGTTTTACTACAAACGAGAGGCAGGTGGAGGGCATGGTGGGCGGTGGGGAGGCCCCTTAGGGTCCTGCTTGTTGCGTGAGGTAGGTTAAACTCTTACTTCCATTTTACAGATAAAGAAACTAAGGCACGGAAGGATTAAGTGCACTGCCTCAAATCACTCACCTAATAAGCAACAGGCCCAGGGAGTCTGACTCCAGGACCTTCACTCTTAACTGTTGCCCTGTTCTGCCTTTCTCTCAACAGAGCAAAATGTAAGTACGTCTTAAGTTGAGTCCATCCAGCTTGTGGGAAGAGAAGGGATATTTCAGTTCGGGGCTCTGCCAGGGTGGGAGTGGGGGCAGGGATAGTTATCCGAGGAGTGGTCACTCCACTGAAGATAAGCGCCATTGTAGACGTGAGCAAGCAGGGTTAGGAGAGGGGAAGTGCCTCACAGGCAAAAGAATACACATGAGCTGAGGTGAAAGGTATGTATGTCCCTTTTAAAACCACCTTTTGGGTCCCTGTTGTTCAAAGGATTGAGTCCAAACTACATTGCAAGACTTGCAAGGCATTATGGGATCTCTCCTGGTTACCTCTCTCTAACTATCCTAACCCCTACCCTCGCCCTCCAGTCACCCACCCCAACTTCCTCCTGTTCCTTTAACCAGGCGGGCTCGCTCTTGCTTCCAGAACTCTGAATACACTGTTCTGTCTCTTTCCAACGACTACTCCTCCACCCTCTTTGGTTAATTCTTTGGGGTCTCAGTTTAGACTCCCACCAGGCTGGCCAGAGCCCCCTCGCGATGACCCACATCCCAACACAGCACAGCCTATAACAGTTTAGGTGTTTGTGCAGCAGAATAAACAATAATAACAGTCGTAAACACCAAACTGATCCTAACGCCTCGGCTTTCAAGGACGGGCAGAGAAATCATTCAAGTCAAGGGGGAAATCCCAGCTCATTTGACATTTGTTTGACAAATATTGAGTGGGTACCTACCAAGGGCAAGGCACTGTGCTGGGTGTCAGGTGACCGTTTCTTTCCACTTTGAGAGCTTGGTGAGATAAAGAGAAAATGAAAGCTTTCATTTCTACGATCTCCAGTTCTGGGCTGCTGAATGGGGAGACCCCAAGAGAGCCCACCCACCGAAAATAAAGGTGTCTTGAATGGATGAATGAATGAATGAATGAATGGTGAGTGTCACCCTGGAAATTAGACAAAAGCATGATCTCAGACCCCAGAAACTCAGCTCACATCAGTTCTGAGAGCTTCCAGCTTAAAGACATGAGCCATGTCATCAAACTAGAGGACTCAGCCCCTCCCCAGAGATCTCCCACCAAATGACAGAGGAATATTATTCCGGAGTACTCCCTTCGATGATGATTCTGGGACGGGGGTACCCAGAACCTGCTTCCATGCCCCACTCCCTTGACCCGGCCCCCTGGAAAGTTTTATCCTCAGCCTGTTCCCCCCTCCCGACTGCCTGCTGGCCAGCCGCTGCCCATGGTGATATATACAGATGACTTGATTTGACCTTGAAGGGAAGAAACAAATTAATGTGTCTCAAAATAAATTCCGGGAATCAGTGGCTGGCTTCTCCTCCACCCCGATCTCAGTGCCTCACAAGCTGTGCATCCTAATGTGAAAATCAATACTGTCTCTTAAATGAGCCAATACCTGGAGCTGGCGGGGTGTAGGGCTGCTGGGAGTTCTCCTCCTGCCCAGTGCCCTGGGCCCAGGAGTTGTCAGAAGGGGTGGGAGCCTCAAGGCCTGTTGTGGGCTCTGCTCTCTGGTGGCGGAGGGCTGGCTGAATCACCCTGTCTGCAGTGAGATCAGTCCACCTGACCAGTGGCTCCAAGTCCTCCCAAATGGGAGCAGCTGTGGGCTACCTGGTGGCTCCTGAGGCAGAGGGAAGGGCTGCTGTGTAGAAGGGCATTGCCATGGTCATTCTCCAAGGATAACCAAGATAGGGGAGGGGCAGAGACTCCAGCCCCAGCCGCCCCCCCCGCCCCCAGTTTAGCAATTCAGTGTGTATTTACTGAGTGTCTGTCTTTAGGCTCCACACCGATGCAGCTGTAGCCCAGGTATAATTGTGCTGAGTGTCCAAATACTGGGATACTTCAGTCCCACCTGGTAAATAGCACTGCCTCTGAGCTGCCCACAGTGTCCCAGCCTTGACTGAGCACATCTTTTTATTCTGATGCCTTGACCACCTGGGACCTTGCTGACCCTGGAGGGACTGCCCTTCCCAGAGATAGCCTGTGAGCACCCCTTTCTTGGGAAAAGCCATCCAGAGTCCACACCCCACTCTCCACACACATCCTTTTTCATACTCTTACACTCTGAGCCACTCTCCACCTGCCCTCATCATTCAAGGTTGGGTACCGAACAACCTGGGACAGCCCCGATGCCCCAGAGCCCACTGAAATTATTCCAGCCAGCCCATTCTATGCCTGTTTCCCCTGCCTCACCTGTTTCCTCCTACAGAAACCGCAGTAGAGGCTCTTGTCCACC